AAGCTATAACCCATTTGTTTCAATCTTTAACATGTTGTGAGTTCAGAGATGTCCTGCTGGACACTGCTGTAGAACATTGTTACGTCAGTTACTGTTTTAATGTCTGAGCAGCAATGGGCAGATGTGGCTAAGAGTGCCTATCACACTGCCCAATGAGTGTATAAGCTGGTGTGAAGGAAGTGTATATTCACTGTCTTAGCCATAACTCCAGTGGGGACCAGGCTGTAACAATGGTCTGTCTAAACTGGGTTTCCCCATAGCCCACCCATTCCTGATTACACACGAGCACCAGAAATATTAAAATATATGTTTCAATGTAATGGGGTTCACCATGTACCATCTATGTGACTGGGATACTCACACGCTTTAACAAGCACTTTACAGCCAACATCACATTTGCTAACATGTCCAAAGCACTATCTCACACTTGTTATCTCATAACATCCAAATATTGTTCCTTTTGGCTGTGCCCATGTACATATAAGCATGGTTTGAATTGCATGCACATGTTACTATGCCACATGAAAGTTACACTTTCCACAACTAATTCTAATGCTTCTGCTCTTTACTCAGGATGCTATGCGCTGGTCCGGTCTATGCCACTCACATGACTCGGTTTTGCAGGGTTTGGATACATAGAATGGGTATAAACTCATCGATCAAGTTTTAGAATCTTCAAACCTGCGTCGACACTACAGACGGTCTGTGTCTTGCTTCCACATTTCATTCTTTAATGAGGTTTATATATTCCTTTTAAGTCGGCATTGTATTAGTAGCTTGTAAAGCTGTGGTGAAATAAGTGTTATGTTTTAGAAGACTTTGTATTAAAATCTGATTTGTTTATTGCTTTTTTTTTTAGCAGACATTGCATATAACAATTTTGCTCTAAATAGCTTTGTAAAATTATAGATTACTTTTTCATGTTGCATTAAACATGTTGCATTGACTTGATTTTTTCTATTTAACAACTCAACAGGCAGCATTAGTACAATAATCACTACATGACGTTGTAGTGGTTATGACGTTATAAGGCTGTGTTTGCCATCCTCCTGTTCTGGGTCGAATAGTTTATGAGTGATGAGACCAAAAACCGGGGGATGTGGGTCTATTGCATATTTGGACAGTGTTGATATTCTTATCAACTGGGATTGGGATCAATTTATTTAGGTTTATGGCTTATCAGCAGCCATTAACATGTCAATAATTTTATCAGTCACAAGATTGAAATTAAACCCATAATATTGATTAAGTCTATCCAACCCACAAAAAAGATGAGCTAAGCAGCTAGAGTGTGCGCATTGCCAAGTGAGAACGATTTGATGAAAATGACACAGATCAAGAGATTCAGGAATTTATAAAATTGTAATTGTAGATTGGTTTGTAGATGTGTGAAGTGCTCTGTTTCCACATGTATGCGTTCATTGTTTTATATATGGATGCAATTTCAAGTTTCTACATAACATTTGTTTTATATAAGGTAGCAATATATGATACAGTTATAGGAATAGTGTATAGGAATGCAATGGAGTACTGTAAAAGGCGTTTAAAGAGACCAGGAGTAGAATAAAAAGCAAAAAATGTGCAGCGCTGCAGAATATGTTGGCGCTTTATAAATGCCAGTAATAAATAAATAAATTAAAAAAACAAACCAGAATGACAGAAACCTGTGTAGAAGAAGCCATCAATGCAGCAATGTAGATGCATTTTGACTGTTCCTCTCTTGGGAGGCATGATAGAGGCAGTACGAGTCCAAGATTTAATATTACTTTGATTATAAATACAGATAAGTTAGCAAGTATGTGATGCAGCAATACATCATTTGGGGCTTGGGATGGCAATTAAGAAATTGTCAACCAGAACGTCTATTACTCAAAGTACTGGAAGTAGTAAAATATTGGCCAAGACATAGTTTGTAACATTTTTTTTATCATCTACTGAGCACCGTGGAAGTGGTGATATGAAGAAAGAAAAAAAAAACAGAATTTGGGGAAAAGCAGGAGAGGTGGTAAGGCCACGGCTGGTACAATGCTCTGGTTCTGTTTGTTTTCAAGATTGAAATTGTGTCCCTCACAATGAATTCCCTAGTCCGGTGTTCCTTTAGCTGACAGTCTGCCTTTTGCTGTCCCCGATTGGAATCCCCCTATGGTAAACCACACTCAACATATGGAATCCTATAACCTGTTGAAATATAAAGGTCTGAACACTACAAAAGTTCGCAGGAGAACAAGACTTACCTTCACCCTACAGACATAACTGCAGAACATGCGCGCCAATACTGAACTTTCAGCTATCATTTTGGGGCTCGTTAGGATTTTACTCTATGTATGGATATTGTTACTCTATAAAACGAAATCAGATTCACAATCCAAAAAATCTTGTTACGCACACTGTGGCATTATTTTATGTAAAGGTTGAAAGACTGTAGCCAACATTCTTTTTAACCGCGTAGTTTCTCCGTGCCCAATGCATGACGCCACTGGTACCACGAGGTTAATGAGCCACTAAAATGTAATTTAGTTGCACCTGTGAAAACTCCAGAAACTAAAAAGTAACATCAGAAGAACAACATTGGTGTATATATTGCTTATAATTTATAAAGTTCACATATTCTGTAGCGCTGTACAACAGGGTAGATCACACACTTTGGTTTTCTACAGCTTGGTGCATAGCAACTGTGTATGAGCAGTGGGCTGGTACTGCCGGGGTTAATGCACAAGACATAAAAGGCCAGGTTTAGGAGTAAAGTTACCCCCTCCAGCCCCATATTAACTGGACACGACTTGAAGGAAAATTCCTGTTTCTTTTTAGATCTCTTAAATCTGTCATATATTTAGCTTAAGGATTTCTGGACAGTTGCTCGGACTTAAGTTACAGTGCAGAGCTCTGGCCCAAATCTTGGCAAGATTCTTAAAAGATGATCCCAAATATATTTTTAATATAGCGTCTTATATTTCCTTCTTGTGAGTCATAACATTCTCAGGCCTTGCCGATATCTAAATACAGCTTCATTTCTATATATGTCAGTATGTCAGCCCTTAAGAACAGGGGACGCTTAATCTCAGTGTGTGAAGTACAGGGTGTTGCGATATATTCCTGATATACATGTCAATGAAATACAGGATTAAAGGATACACGTATCAACCTCTGTATCTATATCTATATGTGGAGGTATAAGAGTGGGTATACACACGAATTCTACTAGAGGGAACACTGAAATAAGCTGTCACTATGCAGGACTTTACCAGATATTAAATTAAAGATATAAAGGGGGAGGCCTTGCACACTTTGATATCTTTAACACATCTTTCTCTCTCCGCAATAGCAGAAGAAGGAGGAGGCTTGGCGATTCTGTTTGCAACGAAACATCCCAGAAATCATTTTGTAAATCAGATTAAATGATAACCCTTTGATTTCCATAGGTTGTAGCACTGTACAGAGTTACATTACCATCATAAATATATACAGGTATAATTTCCATTTTATAACCCATGACACCACATAGATTGCAAGTTCTCTGGTACAGGATATTCAGCATCACCTTTCAGACTGTGGATGTTTCCTTTCTATTTGTACATTGCCATAGTGTAGGTTGGTGTTATAAAAATGAAAGATGATATTTATAGAATTTTTTTATTTTATTTAAAGTGCACGATTGGAGTCACATTTTGACACCCACAGATTATGCCATGTTATGCATGAAGCTCACCTTCTTCACAGTATACACGCTCATGAAAACTAAGAAAACGATGCATTCACACTACACACACGCACACAGTGCTGCAGATGTAAGGAGCTTAACCAGAGATAGTTCTGTGGTGCCCTCAACAGGCAGAATATTGGCACTGCAGAATAGTAGATCATGTTCTGCACATTCCTACAGGGTTTACTTAATTAAAGGTTTATTTATTAAACAGTGAATAAAAGTGAATTGAAAATTAAACTGCAAAATTTAGGGGAAGATATCAGAGTTTTATAAATTCTGCAACTTGGCTATAGTCACTGCTTGGCTATTTTTGCTGGAATTTTGCAACACATTTCAATTTACTACAATTCACCATTTATTGTAAAATAAAAATTTTTTTAGAACCTTAAACAGTGCCGTAAAGTGAAGTGAAAACTGCACATCAAAATGTAAGCTAAAATGTGGTAAGAACTCAACTCTATAACGGTCTCATTTGTGCAACTGGGACTTGAAATCCCTGAAGACTTTGATATTAAAGCAGCTATCACTTGGTTGATCTTTGCATATTTTGCAAAGTCCTTTGAAGACGATATGCCCTCCTGGTGTGAGGCAACCTGGGGGAGAAGCCAACAGGACATATACTTATCTGAAGCTGCTGGTGCAGGGGTCCTCAAACTCCGGCCCCCCCAGATGTTGCTGAACTACAACTCCCATGATTCTCTGGCTATCAATGTAATTCAAAGAATCATGGGAGTTGTAGTTCAGCAACATCTGGAGGACCACAGTTTGAGGAGCCCTGTTCTGGTGCTTCATTCTCCAGGAGACATGTCACTGTATTCTTGTGCATGCATGAGAGTGCAACAAAGAGGTCTGTGGATAATCTCGCAAGATCCCAGGATTATCCAAATGTCAACACTAACTATAGCATGCACTATAGAATTGACAAACGTTGATGAAGAATCTCTGACATTGAACAAGGCAATTTGGATGTGTGTGGTATTGTATTTTCTATTTTCAATAAAATTATACTATCAATCAAATTACTCATCTCTTCTGTATTTCACAGTCAAGCTATTCTAAAAGATGAAAATGAAGTAATGCAAACTTAGAAAAAACTCAATTCAATCCTCTTCCCAGCCCTTCTGTACCCTACTTGGTGTTGTGCTAGAGATAGATGAGGTACTTAAAGCTATGCTAGACCATGTATTTTTCCATAAGGAGTTATTTTAACAGTTTAAAGAGTCCTAAACATTGCTTTTCTCTTGAATTGGGTAATTACCACTCAGTACAGAAATAAGTGATTATGAACAAAGATCAGGCCAGGTGGCGGGCCACAAAACCCCAAGGACAAACAATAAATAGAGAGACGCATTTCACAGGGAATATTTCAATGTATTGAATGTTTATTTCTTAGAGATCAGACGTCACAAGCTCTTCTACTTTCATACACATGTGGAGTTTGAAACCGGACCAACTAATGGCAGTGATAAGCATAAAATGTTACAGTAGGGCTGCCCATCTCTTCCTTCAAGGACCAACAGGGGGACTTAAAGAAGGAATTCCTCAAGGTGATATGCACTATTAACCATTACACTTAAAGGGATACTGAGAATCACACCAAAATTCTGTAGCAGAGGAGGGCAAACGATAGATTCCATAATCTTGTAGAACTTCACCTCCCATGATGCTTTGCAAGCCTTAAGAATTTGTAGTTCTACAACAGCAGCTCGTCAACCCCTGCCTTATTGTGTCCATCAACGCATCCATGATTTTGTAGTTTGATATCTAATTGGAAAGTGGTCAGGGCCCTTATTAACTTTCTTGATAGATAAATTGTATCTGCATTCCAGCATTCTAAGCTGGATTCAGCCAATGGGAGAGAAGCAGGGTGCAGAATCCCTTTCTTATTGGCTGCACAAAGCTCTTCTTAACATAACCTTAACACTCAGTTTGTCACATGCATACATGCCACCAAACACCCATGATCCTCAGTCTATACTTTAGCCTCGGGTTCTGTGTAGAATATACTACCTAGTATCCTCTCTTAATAAGAAAACACCCACACAGTCACCATCTATAGCCCTCAGGAATTCCACAGAGAATGCTTTTGCTTATAACAACCAGTCGTATCTCTCAATATAAAATCTGTTACTTTATTATTAATATATATAAAGAATTATAAACATGCCCCATGGCTTTGGGAGAAGTGAGAATTGGGACAACTAAATTCAGCTTAACTAATAAAGAAGCAGATTTTATCTCGAGTGCCACTTCTGGTTGTTCTAACCAAGAGCAGCAAGTGATGGGATTCCAGTGTTCTGTATATTTTGACTGTGATTAGGGCTTTAATGTGTTTTAATAAAAGTAGCTAAAAAATAAAATAAAAAAACTTGCCTCACCTAAAAAGTGTAATGGACAGAACATCGCCTGCCTGGACATATACCGTAAAGCAGCGGTAGGGAACCTTTGGCCCTCCAAATGATGTGGACTACATCTCACTTGATGCTTTGCCAACAGAATGGCTGTAAGAGCATTATGGTAAATGTAGGGCAGAACATCTGGAGGGCCGAAGGTTCCCCACACCAGGTGTAAAGCAACCTATATGTCGAGATGGTGAGACAGCTAAGTTATGGGTGTGAGTTTATTCTATTTGCTCCTACATAACACGCTATACGGGGCAATAATCCAGAGGACACACTCCTCTGCTGGCCTCTGGTCAGTCATTAAGGTTCAACTCACTGTATGGACTGACGAGGAATCAGAAGAGGGGAATCTGTACTAGAGACCAATTTAAAAACAAATGTATAGACCAACAGAAGAAGTTCCTGGCTCAGTCAATTTGCTACATTTTCTCATAGAATACAAATACAAAATTTTAAAATACTTTTCATATTAGATTGCATAGTGATGTCATATAGTGCAGATTACTTCTGAAATCAATGCAGCTATTTAAAACATGTCCCCTTTAATCCACAGTTTACTCTTTACTTCCTTGAATAACAGAACTGAATTAACAGGTTGTATAAAAATTGTAAAATATTCAGCTGCGCAGCCCAGTACTAGTAACAGAGATTTTATCACAGGGTTGAAGTTGGCGAGTTAGCATGCTAAGTAATTCACAATCTCATGTCCAACATCCTTGTCCTTTTATTGTTTTGTAAAGAGGAATCTATTTAATGTTAAAAAGATTTGTGTAAGATCTCTGTCAACTGCCACATTAAATCAATACACTATGTCAATTATTTTCTTTGGTTCACATAATGGAGATCGTTTTCAATTATATAATAAAAACACACATTTTGTGTATTTTTTATTTTTTTTTACCATTTTCTGTTCTTTACTCTTGAGTTGTCATGATCACCTGAAAAAAAAAACATAGTAAAGAGTTTGTAATATAAGAACAACCAAGTTCTTTAATATGAGTCTTCAATGTTTTGTAACCTTGTGTCGGGAACATAGATGAGGAAAACAACTTTAAATACAAACTAACCTAGACTTAAGATAAGACCAGGGACTAATTAAAAGTATTTTGAAATAACGGGCAGACTAGATGGGCCGAATGGTTCTTATCTGCCGTCACATTCTATGTCCCTATGTATGGTGGTTTTCTAGTGGCGCTTTCAAAGCCGCAATTTTTATTTTAATTTGAGCTTTCCTCCTTAAATGGTCTTATTGGCAGCTGAATAATAGATATTATCATAGTGTTTGCAATGTTTTTGCATGCATTCAAAGGCACTTGATTTCTACAAAATGATTTACTAAACTGGGAGGTTTGGAGAAATCTTAAGGTGATCTGCAAAGTGTATCTAGAAAGCCACACTGGAAAACCACTCATTGAACCAACCTTCGTGGTTACGGTCTCTCTCGTTCTCATCCTGAGCTTGTTGACTTGGCTTTCAGCAATGTCTGCCCGCTCTTCAGCCTCTTCCAACTCATTCTGGACTTTACGGCACCTGGACATCTGAACGTTTGATTGTTGCTCCTGTAAACAGAGAGAGAATCAGCAAAGAACAGTGAGTGCTAGTTACATGAATCGTGGTGAGATAGGTATTTAATATTAGCTTTGTAAAACTGTAGACTGACCTAACTGGGGTAATAACATTTTATGAGGCATACCTTCCTGATTCATAACATTTTTTGTTTTTGTTTTGTTTTTTTAGCCTATATTATATACACTTCAATAATTGTAATTTTAAAATAACCAATGGGTCATTCTGCATTATAGAAGGGAAAAGCACAGTAATATCTAGAAATGGATACAGGAAATATAAAGATACTGAACTTTACTTATTAAAAAAAGAAAGATAAAAGCAGAGATATTAGATTTATGTGAGCACAGCCCCATTGAGAGAACCACGAGTGGTATCAGAGAGCCTAGCTTGGTGGAATGGAGAAGCCCATCGCATTTGGCCGGTTCACATTTAAAAGTACATGTTATTTTATTACTACTACTACTACGTGTATCCTAGGCATTCTTGGTCTTTTTCAATATCTAGAACACTCTGCTTCACCTTTTCTCATTGGTTATTCCATACCTTAAGACTTCTTCCCTGAATATCTGCCCTAAATTAAATCCTCTCCAAGTTTTGATTATGACCTTTTCTCTAGCTTCCGTCGGTTTACATATAACATAATTATCTCGTGGTTCTTTAGATCACTTGAGATATTTTAAGTCTTTATTAACAGGGTGTGCATGCATCTTTAGCAACTTTAGTCTCTCTTGATACATAAATATTCAGACTTTGTACCATTCTATTAGCCCTTTTTTACATTTTCTCTGGAGTATATAGGTCTTTCTCCAGATAAAGTCTCCACAGCTGGGTACAATATTCTAGGTGAGGTTTCCATATACACCCAGACTTTCTACAGCTTTTTCATCTTATTTAATGGAATAGTTTGGTTACTTTTAAATACTATGATATAGTAATCCCCTGGAGCTTTTCATCTTCTGTTGACACAATTATTAATCTAATGAGATCTCCAGAACTACATATTTTTCCAGTACTTAAACAAGACCTGCAATGCTAAATGTAACGTCAAGTTCCAAACCAGTTGACATGTGAAACTATTAATAATGAATGTAAAGCTACTCACAGATTCCTCTGACTGCCTCTTGTAAGATTTCACTTTGATTTGTAATTTATCAACCAAGTCTTGCAATCGTGCAATATTCTTTCGGTCTTCTTCAGACTGCAATGTAAAGGTTTTTTTTAATTAGATCTTTCTCACCCTTCAAAAGTCTAGATGATCCCATTATTTTGCATACTTCCCAAATTTACCTGGAACGACAGCTCCTTAACACGTCTTTCATATTTCCGGACCCCTTTGATATAGTCAGCACATCTCTTCTGCTCAATATCAACTTCACCCTCCAGTTCTCGGACCTAGAAGAATGATGAAACTTTGCTTCACGACGTGTGAAACATTTGCCCTTGGACTGCCTGTCTAATTTTACCAACATCATGGAGATACAACTTTCTAGGTCTTTACTTGGCCAAAGGAAATACTAAGCAAAATAAAAAGTATAGTTCAACAGCTAGAATCCTAAGCCTATAACCCATTTTGTCACCTGCCACCAATTGTAACTGTAGCGTACGAGTATTGTTTCATCCATTTACATGCTACACACAAAGAACGAGTGGGACTAAATAATAGTAGAGTCATCTTTAAGAGACTCACCCTGGTCTCCAATTTCTGGATATGCTTCTTTCCACCTTTCAGTGCCAGTTGCTCAGCTTCTTCCAGACGATTCTGTAGGTCCTTCACTGTCTGGTCTAAGTTCTTCTTCATCCTCTCCAGGTGAGCGCTAGTGTCCTGTTCCTTCTTTAATTCCTCTGCCATCATGGCAGCCTGGCGATTACAAAGCAATATGTCTACCTTATAATGAATTTAACTGAGCAAAATGTTTTGCTCTGTGCAAATAATATTAAATAAAATACATTAATTTAAAAGAAAATACAAAACACACGAAAACAGACAGGCTCTCACATCAGTTATGGCTTTCTTTGCTTTTTCGTCGGCATCTCTTGCTTCCTTGGTGACATCTTCAATTTCTCCCTGAAGTTGTGAAACATCTGTTTCCAGCTTCTTCTTCGTACTAATCAGGCTTGTGTTCTGCACAATGAAAGGAGAAGATGCTATGTAAATGACTCCTCCATGCAGACGATAGTGGAGGTTCTACTGTTCTAAACAAAGCTATAAGCCACTAAAATGTTCTACATTAGTACCAAATATACCACAATCCAAGACCTCACTAAGTTCATTGGGGAAATTGTATTTCTTTGAAGTATAAAAATATATATAAAATTAAAGAACTGACAGTTCAATTGCTGCGTAATATACCCCGCCTCTTCACATGTGCCATTGCAACAATATAATCAATGTTTTTCACCTCACCAGTTGGTGGTTTTAATGTGGCTGATCTATCTATCTATCTTAAAGCATAAATATTTCTCTAAGATAATCTATAATTGACATGAAAAAAAGACCTCTATTCTAATCCTAAAGCATATTAAAGATTATGTCTTCTCATTACAAAAAGGGAGAGAACTCTTTACTAAATAATTATTAATACTTATTTTGCCTTTTTTCCCCTTAATGGATTTCAAAGCACTTCAAGTAGAATGGCTAAGTTCAAACCTTAGAATTGACCAGATTCTGCCACATTAACATTCACTAACTGAGCTATCTCAACACCTTCTTTTACATATATTATATTAATGATTTTATATTTCAGAACATCACATGGCCAGTCTAAAAAAAACAAGCTCTGGACAAGGAACATACGTATATATGGGGTAATGGACCAATTTATTCGACAACCTCAGATAATAAAACCATAATATTGGTAAAATGGCAATCTCCTGAGTAAGTAGGAGATTATTATGTTGCAGGCATTAAGAAATAATTTTGTCCGGATAATACTCTGCTTTCAAACCATTCAGTTGCGTGAGATTAAACCTAAAAGTAATATGTACATGGTTCTCCTGTGGTTAAAAATTGAAGAACATTGGTTTTATTTTACCTGGGAGTGCAGAAGCTGGACACGCTCTGTTGTATCCAGAAGTTCTTGTTCTGCAATCTTCCTAGATCTTTCTGTCTGTTCAAGAGCAGCTCTCATCTCTTCAATCTCAGCAATCAACAGGCTGTTTCTACGCTCCACCAAGGCAAGCTGTTCCTTTAGATCCTCCTGCCCGCGGAGAGCATCATCCAAGTGGATCTGTGTGTCCTGTGGATGAAGACAATAGTTGAGAGTAATGGGACTTTGGTAGACTCAGAAAGGAATTCAGAGCATGGGTGTAGGAAGGAAGGGAGATGGAGGGGACCAAACTCCCAAACATCTAGTGGGAGATATGAGAGGAGTAAAACCCATCCCTAGTCATAATAGTGTGGCTTTTAAAAATAATATGTTTTACTGTTTATTCTACCTATAGTCTCCACTAATGAAAGTGTATCATAAGAAAATGCATGGTTAAACGTTTGCTACCTTAAGGCTGAATACATTTTATGAAAAGCTGTCTCTAGATTTTCTTAGGTTCCTATAATGATAGTTCAGAGGCTTCACACGGTAAGAAAATAAATATATTAAAAAAATATATTGCCCTCTACCATGGAATATAGCTCATGTAATCATTACAAATACAAATGTAGAATAAAAAGTATATATAATGTTTTTAAACGTCCTACGCCCACTATGGCTGCTTACTGCTCCCGACAGACCAACAGAATACCCGTATCCACATAACTTCAGTGCTCAAGGGTTTGGGAAACTAGTCCAGATTTCAGAGAAAACGTAAACATTTTATGTGTACCTTCAGTAGACCTTGGACATTTCGTAGACATTTCTGAGCTTCAGCTGCCAATCGATTTGAGTGACTGAGCTGGATCTCCATTTCATTCAGATCACCTTCCATCTTCTTTTTAAGCCTGACTGCTTCGTTCCTGCTCCTTATCTCTGCATCCAAAGATGTCTGCATGGTTTCCACTGTCCTCTGGTGGTTCCTCTTCAGTTGGTCAATCTCCTCATCTTTCTCTGCCACCTTCCGCTCAATGTCAGCTTTCACTTGAGTCAACTCCAGCTGAATTCTCAGGATTTTGGCTTCCTCGTGCTCCAGGGACGCCTTTTAAAAAGTGTCAAAAGAAATCTCAGTTTTTGCCATTTTCAATTTAATTTACAGTTAGATTAATACATAATACGGTATCTATCTACTGGAGTAAATAATTAAACCAGGAACTAATTTGTTCCCTGACATACCTAGGGCTTGGTCTCCTAGGGATTAATAAAATTCTATCAATACTAAAAGCATTATGTAAACATGTTAAGGCAGGCTTAACAAAGACCACGGGTCAAAAACATTGCCATGTGACTTTAATACTAAATACAAGAATTACAAAAGTACATGGACCTCAGCGAAGAAAGGGCAAACATGTATCTAACTAATTAATGTAATCTGCTATGGGGTTAAAACATTACCTCAGCTTCTTCAAGAGAAGCTTGCATTTCACTTTTCTCCAATTCCACCTGTTTCTTGGCTTTTTCAAGCTCGTAAATGATTTTACCACTGGATGCGATTTGTTCAGACAGATCAGTTATTTCCGCTACAAAACATTAAACATTATGATGTAGCTAGCATGCTCTCTTAAGAACCCTGCAAAAAAGGTCCCTAAACCTAGACATTTAATTATGGAGATAATGGACATAGCTTAGGTAAACTGTCAGACTATGTAGTTGGTCCATTGATATTCCTAATAGTTCCTGAGATCCCTTCTTTACTCACCTTGTAGATTCTTGTTCTCACGTTTAATTGTTTCAAGCTGATCCAAAGATTCTTCATACGCATTCTTCATTTTGAAGAGCTCCGTACTCAAAGATCTTGACTCCTTTAAGGAAGACTCGAGTTCCGCCTGGGTTTCCTCATACTTCTGTTTCCACTCGGCGAGAATCTTTAATAGCAAGAGAGATGGGAAGTCTGATACAGATCGCTAACATTGTTTCATGTTTTTCATTCTTGACTCTGTCTCCCCAATCACAGTTCATCTTTTTACATGTTGTAATTCAAAGCATTAACTGTAGGTCTGCTCAAACTACAAACTACAGTTTTGCATCTTGACACATTGGCTCCTATATCATATAATATGAACTTAGGTAGCGTTAATTTAATTTAGAGCAGAATTGTATCAAGCCTAAGAAAGCCGAAATGGTGATTAGGAAAATTCTACTATAAATCATTTCTGGTGTTCTTGAAATTTTTGAGAGCCATTTTAATATAACTATATTCAATGGTCGCACTGAGAATCATACAAAAACACTTCATTATAGCAAAGCTTATGGTACATAGAGTATCCTGCACATAGTCTCCCAACCCAGAGTGGCTTATAATAAGTAATTCCAGTATTGGATCCATCCAACTAGTGCATGCAACATGCGCACAACTCACCCGCACTCATGTGTGGTCAGTGACTTGGGAGTTTGCAATAACAAAACTGTAAACCATGCTGTGTAAAACACAAACCAGCGACGTATGACGGCCATCAGAATAACCACTTATCCTTGTGATGAATGAAACTGCAACTAAGGATAAGGTACTTATCCCATAAAGCTGTCCAGGACATAAAAGCTAAATAGGTCTCCCAGCAGCAGCATTTTCGGGTGGAAGTGCCCAGCGCTAAGATCTTAATTAAGTATTTTTTTTTTTAAGTATGTAATTTAAATTCTTTTTAATTCTTTTTTTCCCAAAGTTTTTACGCCTTAATAAATGGTGGGTCAATTCGCCGCTACTATAAGTACTTATTCTTTCACAGACCTTTTATTTGGAAACGTCTTTATGTGTTCCTTTTATACAGGGTAGAAATTTAAGTTAAAATGCCAATGACAGAACAATGAGTAAGGCAGCCAGTGTTCTGTTTGTGCGATAATTTTTTTCTATATTTGTATACCTTTCGCAAGTGCCAATTAAAGTTTTCTTCTATCTTCATCTGCTGTGGCGTGCTATTTTTGAAATCCTACTACATTTTCTTATTGAACTAAACATAATTACCTTATCGAAATTCCTTTGCTTTTTGTCGAGAGCAGCAGCAACAGCATTTGCCCGCTCCACGTCAATCATGAGGTCCTCCACTTCGCTTTGGAGCCTCACTTTGGTTTTCTCCAAGGAGGCACATTTGGAGTTCACAGCTTCAATATGTTCCTCTGCTTCTTGAAGGCGTTGAGCTAACTTTTTCCTGAAATCAACAGATACATGTTACTTTGTGTGAGTTTAGTAAGGGGCACGTATCAGAGACAGGAGGAAATGTCTGTATGGCAGCATGAACCAATCATGCAAATGCGGATATTACCATGATATTACCATGATGCATTGCAAAGCCATCCCCAACTCTAGACGTCCATAAAACCACTAAGCCAACATAAAATACTGTTCAGGATAATATTACCAGAATACTGTCTGCTTATTTTATATGATTCTCTGATTAACAACATGTTTAAGGGGACCATTTACAGGTCCCATGCCTTGATAAAGTTTCTCAGAGGTGGAAATTAAATCTGTTTTGCTAATTACGTCTGCAGAATAATAAATACAGAGATTTAAGTTCACAAATATTGCCATGGCAGCTGCAGAATCCAATTTGCACCACTACTTACAGATTCTTAGAGGGAATTTGAAACATGGGAGGATTCAATTTGTGTGAGTGCTTTCCGGTTACTCTCTAAACTAAACTAACGAGTAATATTCACTTCTTACCACTAGAGGTCATGGTTACTACATTTTACTGTGGACCTAAGCACAATGTATTTGTGATGAGGAACATACCGTATATACTATACTATACACACACGCACACACACACACACACACAATATTGGGCTGCTGGTTTTAATGTTGTGGCTGATCACTATATTATATATAGACATATAAAATAATAATAAAACATATGTATCTAAATATCTCTGACACATTTGAATGGAGCTTTTTAAAAATGCACATCCTGCTGCAGACTTCCTTCCTTGTAGCCTTTGCCTTCAAACTGAGGCAATGCCCGTCATTTATACTTGTAAAGTTGTGACATGATTTTTTTTTTTTTTTTTTAACAATTCCTTAATAAAAGGAAAGTTTTAATTTGATCTAACACATAATTCTGGACCTGTCTGTAAAATATTACCTCTTGGGGCATTTGAACAGAACCATGTTTTGGGATCCCTAAATGTGCCAGTTATTCAATATTAAAAGGACACACAGATAATCAATGCAGTCAATGTGTTATTATGTCACTGAATTACTTTGCATCTTCCAGTTCTTCTGTGCGCTGAATGGCATCAGTTTCGTATTTTGTCCTCCACTGGGAGACTTCTCCATTGGCTTTGGACAGAGCTCTTTGCAGCTCACCCTTGGCTTCCTGTTCCTCCTCATATTGCTCCCTGAGAAGGTCACAGTCATGGCGTGAAGACTGCAAGCTATGGGCCAGAGCATTCTTAGCCTGGCAATCAGAGAATCACACAAATTTTGTGTTAGATTGTTAACAGAATATGAACAATCTGGGCATAGTGACATGGTGTAGAACTCTCATTCGATCCATACCTTCACCTCTTCTTCCATAAGTCTCTTCAGTTCCTCAATTTGCTGGGTAAAAGCTTGTTTTGACCTAGACAACTGTGAGACCAAAGATTCTCGCTCTTCAAGCTGTCGTCCAAGTTCACCTGTATTTAGACAGTAAATGTAACATGGTAACCTCTGGAAATATTTATATATTCGGCCAACATTTATACAGTATATACGGCTATTACCTGAAGTGCTCCTGTTTTAACAAAATTGGCTGAACAAAAAGAGCTGGCCAGAATGCATATGTAAGCATTGAAGGTATGGATGATAGCAACAAAACTCATGAGTACATTTTCTGGAATCAGGAATTCCATAATGGATATTGAATTACGTTGTAAAACTTTCTTGAGATATTTGGAAGTGGAAAAACTGTACAATGTATAGAAATATGTATGGAGCAAGGACCTAGAATAGATTACCTGCTCTGTTTCCTGTAATTACACTGCCAAGCAAGTAGCACAGATAGTGTACACATGGGTTTGTGCATATGTGAGCAGGTGTAAACCCGTACACTGAATTCTTTAATCACCTGTTTCTGTCTGCAGACGAGCTTTACTTAATGTCAGTTCAGCGACAGTACGCTGGTTTTGCTCTGTCTTGGCCTTGAATTCGCTCAGCTGATCCTCCATCATACGACAGAGCTTCTCAAAATTAACCTGGTTGTAGAGACACACGGGGGTGAATTATAAACAAAGTAGTCATTTGTAAAAATATATCTTGTCATTTTTCTTAAATCATTTATCTTCCATTTTGTCCCTTTTTGGTTTGGTTAAAATTATATTGTTCTATACCATGCTATTCACAAACACACCCTGCCCCAACCACACACTTTTTTTAATTATGCTTTTCTTAAGTACTTAAGTAATTAACTGATATGTTTAATACCTTTTATGCTCTATAATAAATCAAATGATTGTATACTAGACTATCTAACTTAGCACAAACATATATTCCTGACCCTATAGTGTTAAAACCACCATCTAACCCCTATCCGTTCTTGCCCCCCTAAATATAGTAATATCTTACTTGTATTCAAGTCTGACGCTGCTGCCTCTGCCTGTGAACTGCCTCTGTCTGCTGACATCATAAGAAGTGGTGGTCTGAGCCAATCCCAATGCTTTCACATAGGATCGACAAGTCAAACACAACCCTGGCCAATCAGAATCTTCTCATAGAGATACATTGAATCAATGCATCTCTATGAGGAGAGTTCAGTGTCTGCATGCAGAGGGTGGAGACACTGAATGGCAGTGCTGTTTACTCTGCAGCACTGCCCAAGTAAGCAGCTTTAGCAGTCATCTTAGGTGTGGCCAGTGGAGTTATCACTAGGCTGTAATGTAAACACTGCATTTTCTCTGAAAAGACAGTGTTTACAGCAAAAAGTAATGAAGGTAATGATTCTACTCACCAGAACAAATGCGATAAGCTGTAGTTGTTCTGGTGACTATAGTGTCCTTTTAAGAATGAAATGTTAGAGTGTTTCACAGATTACTTAAAGGATACACCAAGCACCATGACCACTACAACTCACTCTAATGTCCATTGAGCTAAGAATTTATGAGCATTATGTCATATTTTTTGAGCAAACTATTTGGGTGAAGTTTGACAAAAAACATGGTGTGTCTTAACACCCATAGCTCACCCACCATCTGCATTAATATTGGTAAAATCAAATTCTATGTTACCAGTATCAATTCCATCCAACCTGAAGGGGGTTGATTTACTGAAGGCATTAGGGGTAATCTAGCCCTGCACCGTCAACCTATCACATCCATCAAGAGTGGATGGAACTGACATTAATGTGGAAGTGTAAATCCTGCATTATTAATCCACCTGGTGAATGGGAAAGGTCTGTTTTTTTTTGTCAATCAAATCCAAAATGGTTTTGACGAAAAAGTGGGACTATTTGCACCATAACCACTACAGATTGCTGTAGTGGGTATTGTATTTAATGTGTTCCATTAGCCTCTCTATTGTACAGAAGCCCGAGGAACACAAGCAAGTTAACAATAACAAAATGCTTTCTATAAAATGTTGTAAGGAGAAACTGCAAAGAATCTTAGATGTGCAATCATTTTAAAGGCATATTACAGTTCTCTATAGCATTAAATGTAAAGTTGGGTTGAAAACAGACTTGCATCTACTAGATTCTTTTTCCATCACTCTGTTACTACTGCTAATCTGAAAAAAAGGCAAAACCTTTTTTAGTGCACACCATCTATATACCATTAATTCTATATATTAAATGGAAAATGATACATTAGATGTTGAGGTGAGAAAGTTCTAAGTGTCAGTGTGGGGAAAACGGGTTTGTTTAAACTACCATATAATCCACAAACCTTGGATTTTGTTATAGTTTCAAGGTTGCTGTTGAGATCATCAATCTCCATCCTCATCTCACTCTTCTCCTTCTCCAGTTTCTGCTTCACGCGTTGCAGGTTGTCGATTTGCTCACCATACTCCGCAGCACTGTCTGAGTGCTTCTTACGGAGAGTGGCGACAGTGGCTTCATGTTGCAAGGAGACCTCCTCCAGATCTCTGCGCATCTTTTGAAATTCAGTTTCTCTTTTCTTATTCATCTCTATCTGAGTAGATGTGGCACCTCCAGCTTCCTCCAGCCTCTCGCTAATCTCCTCCAGTTCCCTGGTCAGGTCAGACCTTTGCTTCTCCGCCTTGGCTCGTGTTGCCTTCTCAGACTCAATCTCTTCTTCAAGTTCTTCCACGCGAGCCTGGCACACAAACAATGGGTGAATGTTTATTATTGTCAGAGAATTCTGAGAGTTGCATTTCAACAATATCTGTAGGATCAGAGGTTGACAATACTGCTCTACTGAGTGCCATGTGAAATGCCCTAAATACTTATGTACGGATCTGTATGGAGTTCCCACTGAATTTTAACTTTCATAAGTAAAGAAACTAAAGTTTTAAAAAAATGTTTACCGTTACCTCGAACTTTTAAAAATAAACACTTATATAGTGGCATACCTGTAAAAATGAATACTTGTTTTTTTACCTGGAGTTCTTTAATTTTCTTCTGAAATTGATTCGACAGAACCTGTTCGTCCTCGATTCTACTCAACAGCTGGCTTATCTCGAAATCCTTCCTGTCAGCAAAAAGTAGAACAGGTAAATACAACCGGATAACGAATGGCCAATTATTACTATTAATGAGATATAAATTTAAAAAAAAAAATACAGAGCTAGCATATTTAAACGGACCACTCAGTGATGTCCTACTAAAAGGATAGGAATAATCCTTAATTTAATACTTTAATCTTCAATCTAGTAGTTGAAAATGAGGTTTTCATTTGATATGTATACTTCTGTGTTTTCTGCTTTAATGGATTGCATGTGCAATGTATCTGTTTTAATCGATAATTCGATTAATTTGCAATTTCTCGGTATTAAACTCGGTGAAATTTAAAAAAAAAAAAATGTCAATGTCATTTATGTAATTCACTAGAGTAAAATAAATGAGGACAAAGCAAAAGGAGAAAAAATAGGTTTATGTTACCCTGCTATAGGAACTATGTATCATTTCTATAATTGTTGAACTATACGTCATAATCATAATCTCTGCATTCTAGTATAAGTCCAATCATCAAGTTAATGTATCGCTGCACTTCATGCTTTGAGATTAGTCTAATGACCACAAGAAACCCCGTACTTTTTTAGCTTTTCGTCCATCTGCTGTCTGTCATTCTCCAAATCCATTATAGAGTCGTGTGCCATTTTCAAGTCTCCTTCCAGCTTCCTCTTGGCCCGTTCATTCTCCATGCGAAGCTTTTTCTCTTGCTCTAGAGAGCCTTGAAGCTACATTAGAGATTGGAGACCATGTTTGTCAAAGTTTCCATGCCATTTCAATGCAAATAATAATAAAGGTATGGTGCCCATTTAAAGAAAATAAAGCTGTAATTATTCACATTTCTGCTATTCTGAGTAGGATATGTGCTTGGTTACGGACATACATTTTGAGGTAATATAATAAGCTCTGAGACAACCTTTGAAGGAAGTTGATATATCCCTATATATATTCAGGGAAAGGTTTTCCATATTATAGGCTCAATTTAATATTGTTGGGTAAAATGTTCAAATGATCGAATATTATATTGGATAAACTTTTAAAATTAATTTCTCAAATTATTAAAATATAAAAAATATATATATATTATATATGAAAAATATATATTTTAAAAATCCATGCATTTTTTCATAATATTAAATCATTTTAACAGTTTATCCAACAATATGTAATCATTTGAAAAGCTTATCCAACAATATTAAATAAGGCATATGTCAGGTTGGTACTGGTACTCACATCGTCAATTTGCTGTTCTAGTTTGGTTTTAAGTTTGGTCAGTGAGTTGACTTTGTCTTCCTCAGCCTGGAGATCATCCAAGGTTTGCTGATGAGCTTCTTGGAGAGCCTTCTTTTCTTTGGTCAGCTTCACAATGGTTTCATCTAGACCAGCCATTTCCTCAGTGAGGTTTTTAACCTTGTAAAATTAGATGTTAAAAATATAAGGAAATAGTAATTAGCCTTTTTCTAAATAATGACTACATAAAACTAATGAAGCCAAACTTTATTGGTAACCAAAATATATATATATTCTCTTCTTATTGGTAAAACCCAAACATATTTGGTCTATGAAAAGTCAGCTTCAATATTCAATCAAATTTTAAACTATAGAACATACTTTGTTTTCTATGGCGTGTCTTTCCTTCTCAACCTTGGCCAACGTCAACTCAAGGTCATCAATATCTTTCTTCAATTCAGAACACTCATCCTCCAGTTTTCGTTTCTTGGCTGTCAGTTCAGCATTCGACTCTTCCTCATCTTCCAGTCTCTCATTGAGCTCTTTGATTTTGGCTTCCAACTGAATCTTGGTTTTAATTAACTGATCACATCTTTCCTCTGCATCATTTAAGTTTTCTAATTCCTTCGGAGAAAAGATAGACATTTCTGTGTTTCATGGATAAGCATATGAAATATAGGTGCATGACTGAGCCTTAATAAACACAACAAACAAGTTGGGAGTTAGCTGAAAGGGCAGTAGAGCCATCAAAATAAAATATGATAAAGTTAAAATATTACAGATGGGGGGGGGGGGGCAGAGCCTGCAGCAAACTAGAGTAGACATACTCAACTGAGCTCTGTGCCCTGCTTGACAAACAAATGGATTTTAGAGTGGAAATTGGGTTATCACACAGCTATAAAACGTGATACTGCTATGTGAAAGTATAATGGGCTGGAAAAACAAACTGAAAGCTTACAAGGGCCCTACCAGCCGGGATATTGGTGATCTCTTGTGGAGCTCACAATGAGCCGCATGGACAAAGATGGCACTGGGGGACGAGGGTTCCTCTTACTCCTAGGAGGATACCTCCATTGACTCTGGTAAAGGGGCATCTCTTGGTCTACTACCCAGACATAAAGTCAAATCACAGACATCCAGGGAACTGGTCACAGCGGACTTGCTGAAACGCAAGCTGTCAGAACTCAGACAGAACATCGCAACTGACATGGCCTACTTTAAGGACGCCATTAAAGAAACCACCACACAGATCCCCCTCCTAGAGGCTTCTAACAGCACATAAGACTCAAGACTCACCTCAGTTGAGTAGACGTTCGCAAATCTCCAGCAACAACACATCAACACCACCGAGAGGTTTGACACATTGGAAGATCAGACGCGGAGGTACAATCTGAAAATCCGAGGAGTTCCGACGAGAGAGCTGACTTGACTCAGCATACAGAACCCCCTGACCACCCCGGGGGAGTCTCAAGTTCCACCATCAAGAATTGATATTGCATTACAGTCTTAAAGCTACAGATTATACATGCATTTATGTCTTTTCTAGTTCTTTTATGTATTTAATAATTTTTATTACTGGTTTGTTCAGTCAAATTGCTGGGCTAGAGCTTAGTTTATATATATATATATATATATATATATATATATAAATATATATATATATATATATACACATTACAGATGTGAACACAATCTTCCAAGTTAGACAAGTAAAATTTTAGCCTATGGCAGTAAGTATTGCACTTTGACATCAGAGGAAGCACAGCCCTGTGACCCAGAAAAAGGTCCATGAACCAAATGATACTTACAGACTGAACATGCAGTTGTAGGTCATTCTTCTCTTGAAGTAGTTTTACCATCTTCTCCTCCAGCTCTTTCCTTTGTGCCTCAGACTTTGCCAAATTCTCCTTAGTTTTGGCAAACTCCTCTTTCATTACCGCCATCTCTTTCTCAGTTTCTGCGCTCCGGAGTAGGGGCTTAATCTTGAAGTACAATTTCATCCAAGGCCAGTGTTTAACATTCATGAAAGCTCGGATATTATACTGAATACTGAATATCGCTTCCCTAAAATCAACATTAAAAGAAAGATATTAACTGTCCTCTAAGACTGACTAAGTAAACATATGAAATAATGAATTATTGCTGAATAAGTTTACCTTCTGTCCATCATCTTTTTGAATTCCACCCTCATCAGGTATCCTCTACTTAAGGCCTGCGTGCGAGTAATCAGATGGGCTAGGCGATCATCACGCATTTCTTCCAAAGTTCCCAGCAACCCAGCTTTGAAGAACACCTAAAATATTTAGAACACAGGATGCCAATTATGAGAAGACATACAATGCTATCAAAGTATTTAAACAGGGAAGGTACACTTAGTTCTTTACAGTTTTCAAATACATCCTGGGGTTTAGGAATTATTACCCAGCTCAGTGGACCTCGATTCATTAACCTCGGAAGGGTAAAGGACAGAGCTGACCTTGTTGTGAATGGAATCTCTAATTACCAGATACTGCACCTGGCTTCCTTAACCACTCTCTCTCTAACAAATAGATTTTACCATTCAGGATTAATAAGAACATTTAATGTAATAAAAATATGTTTTGAAGCCAGGGAGAAGCATGAAATATATGACACGGGAATCTGCCATTGCTACACAAACTCCATAACTTTAAGTGTTGCGCCTCACGCAACCCTAAGCCAAAATAAAAAAATAGATCCAGGATTCCCCACCCATCACCAGATGTAATTTTTAGTAGTCTCACATCTCTGTTCTATATTTAGATTAATGTCATGCTTTACCTTTGTGTGCCCAAATTTATACTGAGTGTGATCAATATCAATTGAACCCAAGAGTTTCTCTGAGGCTTTTTTGCTGTCAATAAAGTGTCCCTCTGGAATAGCACTTGCATTCAGAATTCGATATCTATTAAAAGAGAAAATACAAAGAAGAAGGTTGTTTTTGTTCCCCCAGAACAAGTGTGAGAATGAAGAAAAACTGTGACATCTTGTCCTTTAGTTACTCCCTACTTGAGTTCCAAACCAGAGTTTGCTCACTTCTCCCATCTCAGAAGGAAGCATTTTAATACTTAACTTATGCCTCCACAAAGGCAGGGCCTATTTGCCCCCTATAAAATAAGCTGGCTGTAGTCATATCTCATCAAACATGGTAAATTTATTCTATGGCTTACTCCAAACTGAAACATAATTCAAACCAATAAGGTCCTGTATGGTTTGATTTAAATAAAGCTCAGGACATTCTCTCTCCCATCTCACCTTATTTCCTAACTACCATTTATCCATTCTTTAACAGTTTTATATTAGAATAGGTTTCTCAAAATAAGGATTTACCGTTGTTTAAAGTCTGCATATGCAATTCTGCTGGGAAAACCCTTGCGGCATATTCTAATGCCCTCGAGTACCCCGTTACATCTCAACTGGTGCAAGACAAGGTGATGATCCATTTCCCCTGCAGGACAAAGATATGACATGTAAATTAATCTCAATTTTCTATGAGAAAAAGTACAAGAATGTATTAACTTTAAAGGGACACTATAGGCAGCAAAACAACTTTAGCTTAATGAAGCAGTCTGAGTGTATAGATCATGTGCCTGCAGTTTCACCGCTCAGTTCTCTGTCATTTAGGAGTTAAAGCACTATTGTTTCTCTTTATGCAGCCCTAGCCACACCTTCCCTGGCTGTGACTTCCACAACCTGCATTATTTTTTTTTCTATCATATCTTAACTTACTTTATAAGTTTTTACCTCCTGCACTGTAAATTGAATTTTAATAAGAGAGAAGGCCTATGGTCTAGAAGCTACTAACAGAACAGGATATAAGAAATTCTAAACTAAACAGAATTTTCAAAAAAGGAAGTTTAAACTTTAGATCTCAATTTACAGGAAGTGTTTAGGATGGCTGTGCAAGTCACATGCAGAGAGGTGTGACTAAAGCTGTATACACAAAGTGATGTAACTCCTAAATGACAGAGAACTGAGCAGTGAGACTGCAGGGACATGATTTGTACAACAAAAGCTAAAGTTTTTCTGGTGCCTATAGTGTCCCTTGAAATAAATTTTTTTTTAAAATTGTTGCCTCCCTCCTCCCCCCAAGCCTTTAACATCATTACATACGTGTATGCATATGATCTAACTCAACAGAGAATAATTCCCATACAGCGAGACTACTGGAAAAGCCAACCTCTTTAATACTTTTCATTTTCCATTTAAAAGGGACTATCTTGCCCACCTGTCTGACCAATTACCTGGTGTTTTTGTTTCATTAGGAATTAGGCACCTCACAAAATGGGGATGAGTGGTCCTCAGGTTGGACATGAGCTTGTTCAGGTTTTCCTGCAGGGTAAGCATTCAACAGGTAATTATTATACATAGAAACATAGAATGCTTCAGAGACAATATTATATATGTATTAAATGATCATAAGGGCAGAAGGTAAGACCAAGAATCTCTGGCTACAGTGGAACCCCTGCATGCTGTGTGATTATGGGGTAAGGCAGGTTATTACCCAGAATCCCCAGCTGCAATTGAAGCTATGCACGCTGTGTTAATTACCCACAAACCCACTGTATTTAATAATTAAATTTGAATAATTCATTGCATAATATTATTTTTATGCGTGATACTAAGGATCAGTGGGAGTTGAGATTCTGAATTTTTTATGGTAAAAATCTGAAAAAATCATCACTGTAGGCAGGTAACATGAAACATGTGCAGGAACATGTAAATACCAAAAACACCCACATAAGTCACTTACCCTGAAAAGAGCGGACACCGTCTGAAAGGAAGAACCTTTCTTCTTAGCAGCCTTCTTGGTGCCTCCTTCTCCTAAAACACATGAAAAGAGTGTCCAGTGATCCCATTCTGCGATCTGTTCTATGTCTGTGTTGCACATAAACTCCCCAATCCAAGCAAATCCAAATAAGCACAAACATTTATTGGATAAGGGACAGAAAATCAGGGATGAAATAGAGAATACAACAAATTAATATATAAAATGTGTACTGAATCTCAGGTTATGCAGGGATCAAATGGTGAAACTACAAGATATTTTGTTCATGTACTTTACTTAAGCCAAGGTCCAAGGGTAACCTCACAAGATAGTATGTGGATCAAGAATCTATACTTCTTAATTGTGATCAACTTAAATTAAGAGTCAACAAGTCAGCCAGCCATTACCTACCTGCATCTGTACCAGAGTACGCAACGTAAAGGTTTGCCAAAAGTTTCATGGATGACTTTTGATAGAGTCCCACCACAGTTTCATTCAGTGGGTCCTTGTTCTTCTCCAGCCAACCTTTAATATTGTAATCCACCGTCCCGGCATAATGGACGAGAGAGAAGTGAGCCTCAGCTTTGCCTTTGGCTGGTTTTGGTTTCTGGAAGTTGTTGGACTTGCCGAGATGCTGGTCATACAGCTTGTTCTTGAACGAAGAGTCTGTTGCCTTGGGAAACATGCACTCCTCTTCAAGGATGGAGAAAATACCCATTGGCTAAAAATAACAGGAAACACCATAACAGGTTCATGTTTTTAATACAAAGGTCATTCAAGTTCTGTATAGACTTAAAGGGGCACTATAGTCACCCAAACAACTTTAGCTTAATGAAGCCGTTTTGATGGATAGATCATGCCCCTGCTGTCTCTCTAAATACTGAAGATAAAATATATTTTTATATGTGATCTTTCAACTAATGGCCAATTATACAAACATCCACTAGATATTGGAGAAAATGAAAACGTTTACAACCTATGTACATTATTACAACCTAATGCAAACATAGTAGAATGTAGAATAAAATTACTTTACATCAAAGAGAATTGGACCATAGCAGTGGTACAAAGGGGTAATAATATTTGTAGAACGTACCTTCTCAATAAGCTCAATGCAGGCCGCCAAGTCCATGCCAAAGTCAATGAAGTCCCACTCAATCCCCTCCTTCTTGTATTCCTCTTGTTCCAAGACGAACATGTGGTGATTGAAGAACTGTTGCAGTTTCTCGTTGGTGAAGTTGATGCACAGCTGCTCCAAACTGTTCAACTGAACACAGCAAAACAATCACAGTGTTTATTTGGCAAACACATACGGAAATACTATCGCTGTACACTCCAGGGCAGGCACTGCCAACGTCTGTCTGTCTGATAATATGATGAAATAAAAGTATTGCAGCAGGAACATCAATGGCCACTCTAGGGTATCATAGATTGGAATCTAGTATTCTAGATACCAGGATAACAGAATAACATATACATCGGGATAACAGGATAACAAACATTGCTCATTGGAAAGTTGTACACAGCACATCAGGGTGTAAATCTGCATTTATTTTTTTTAATAAAAGGAGAATATTTATTGAATATTGCAACATCTTAGAGGCCACTTCTATAACAAGATAAAAACGTGTTCAATTATTCTTTTAGGTTACTGACTGAACACACAATACAGACCGCAAAAATGTGTCAAAACATACAGATGTAGTTATAAACATCAATTACAAACATAAATGATAATGTTCAACCAAATAATTAGCTATTTTAAATTGCCTATGGTTTAGTGATAAAATAGTAACTGGGTTGACAGCCATTGAGGATCAAGTTTCAGACTAGAAGTAGAAGATTTATTCAGTATGCTTGTTATGGATGATGGCCCTTACTATTGTTCCAAAAACATGTGGATGTGTTTTATGTATTTTTGTTATTCCAGAATTTTGAGAAAAATTAAGGGGGGGAAAAAAAACATCTCATGTTAGTGGCATCAAAACAAAAACAACCAAATAAACTTTGTATTCTGGGGCCAAAGCCAGAATAAATACGGAGAAGAAAAGGATGAAGAGGAATCTGCTGCTCATATGATGCTTCAACTGTCTTCGGAAGGTGGGAGATGTTCGGGGAGGCATTAGCAAAAGAAAATAACTAAAAACACAATTCAGGCAATATTCAGCAATGCTAACCTCAAAGATTTCAAACCCAGCAATATCCAGCACCCCGATGAAATGCTGTCTGGGAAGTTTGGTATCCAGCTGTTGGTTAATCCGGGTTACCATCCACAAGAATAATTTCTCATACACGGACTTGGCCAGGGCATTTACATTTTGGTGCACCTATAAGAGAGTAGCTCAACGTTTAATATTTTGTATAAACCTGGTGACATCATCAATAAAAAAGATTTTTGCAAGGCTGCTCACCTGCTCAACGGTCTGACTTTTGGTGACGTATTCATTTCCGACTTTGACTCGAGGGTAGCAGAGCGCTTTTAGCAATTCTGCTGAGTTGAGTCCCATCAGATAGGCGGTTTTATCTGCCACTGTAAAACAAGATAATCTAAGTGTGCTAACCTGAATAACATTTGTCTTAAGTGTATGATCATTCTAACCCAAGCTTACCACTAAATGCCTTTGTTATATATAAGTTATGGCTGTCAGTCCTTGTTAACCCCATTAAGACGACAAAATATTCCCTTCTGTTCTTACCTTCAGTACCATCAGGTTCTGCCTGCTCCTCACGGGGCTTCTGTTTGAACTTCATTACGCCGTAGTGCATTACCGAACCTGTTAACTTGTAAATACCAATTTTTTCTTCTGAGGTGAAGCCCAGAATATCTATGGCACTCTACATTTAACAAAAAGACAGAAGAGTATGAGATAAACCATAGTGGTGTATTTGTAACAAACTATAACATTGTAACTAGAGAACTTACATCTGTGGCCATTAATTCCTCTGTGTCGTCAATGCTGGCCACTGAGATCTCCCCCTGGCTCATATATGGGAAGTCATATGGATTTGTTGTAATTAACAATGTTTCTAGGGAAAAGAGAGGTCACATTATCAGAGTTATTCACTCAAGTGAGAATTCAAGGTGAAATGCGTTGAGGTCAGCTATTCTGGTCTTAAATTTGGACTTCACTTTTAATTCTCTCTTTTGTGAATAGCCCTCTATGACTCTTTGTTAGTTACCGTTTAAATATCAGTAAGAGACTAGGTAAATAATAATACGTCTATAAGTGAGGCACTTGCAAAAATGTGTTAAAGGAACACTCCAAGCACTTCAACCACTACTGTGCACTGCAGTCATAAGGTGCCAGGAGTGCCCTGGCACCTGCCAAACTAAGTAATTAAACCATTTTTCTATGATTTGACTTCTTACCTGGGGTGCACAGTGTGCACGTCACTTCCACCATGATGAGTTAGAGGCTCCTGCTAGGAGCTTCCGTTACCTCTTCTAAGCTAAACCCCAACTTATTGGTTGAGAGCATCAGCTGATCACGCTCAATCAGTGAGCTAAGTGAGCTGACCCCCAAGCTTAGCTCAACTTAGTGAGCTTCTGACTATCCTGGAGGACGTGATCAGTGCCCGGCTGACCCCTAGGAAGTTTTCAAAGTGTTTGCAAACATTTTGACTACTTACAATGGGGGAAGGATGCCAGGGCACTTACATGGTGCTTGGAGTGTTCATTTAAGAATTAAAATTATTTAAAAAGGGCCGCTAAAGAAATCCAGACCACCTCATTTAAATTAAGTGGTCTGGCTGCAGTTGTCCTGCCATTTTACCCCTGCAAAGTAAAACATTACAGTTTTTTGTTTTATTTTGAAACTGCAATGTTTACATTGCAGAGTTGAACACCACTCTAGCCACTAGAGGCGCTCCCACTGCACCGACTGCGTAGAACTCGGTGACATGACATGGAAGCTCACAGGAAATCACTGGATTTAATGCTTTCTCATGAGTAACATTGGATGCACGCGAACACTTGTCCTCCAATGCTTATGTCCAGCTGGTTTGATCTGAAATGTATGATTCCTTTGTACATTTTCCACTATTAGTGATTTGATAAAGAAATAATCAGTGTTAATCCCTTCCCCTGATGTTCTTCATCTGCTGAGGCAGCTTTGACACGGAATGGCCATATGGTGTGACTAAAAGCTGCAGACGTTTTGTTTAAGACAAATGATTTTATGTAGCCTATTAAATTTCAAAAATTGTACATTTTTGTGTGTGCAGTTACCTTAACGGGATACTGTAGGCACCCAGACCACATCATCTCATTGAAGTGTCCCTGCCCTCCTTAATCTTGCAATGTAAAACATTGGAATTTTAGAGAAACTGCAATGTTTAGATTGCAGTGTTAAGACCGCCTTTAGTGGCTGTCAATCAGAGAGCCACTAGAGGCACTTCCTGCAGTTTAACGGAGTTTCACTGTGTAGTTTCATGGAGTGCATGTCTATCGTGTTGAAAAAACCCATAGTAAAAAAGCATTGTTCCCCCATCGGCTGACGTGGGAGGAGCCTGACCCAACACCACGGGGCATTGTCACTGGAATACGTGTTTTAAAAAGGTTATTTAACACTTTATTCGCTGGGGGGAGAGTGGAATAAGGGAGGGGCACTATAGTGTTAGGAATACAACTTTGTATTCCTAACACTATAGTGTTTCTTTAAAGCAGATTTATTATATATTTATTTTTTAATTATGCATATTTTATTATTAGGGACTACTTTTCCCTATAACTTGAAGGTTGACAAAAGTTGACGGTTTTTTTTTCTCTTCACTTTCTTCCTGAAGTGGTGCGTTACTGATCATCATTATTAACTCTCGCACAGTCACCAGATCCCCTAGGCATAAACATGATTTCACACACCCGCCCATGAAAAGGCAGAAAATATACATTTCCGGGGCCGCCATCTTAGAATCTGTAATTCCCGGCAGTACCAGAACAACTTCAAAAAGTTGAGCAGGTCCCAGGGCCAGAAGAGTTTGAGGGGTACTTCATTAAGCCTTTACCACAGCATCGCTAGTTTGGAAATGTATGGTCTGGGTGTGCCACACGATTCCTTCTCGAGGAATTAACACTTTCATGATGTTCAGCCAGCCACAGGAGACCATTATTTTGTTTAAGAAGGTGGAGATGGATAGATTGTTTGTCGACTCAACCAAATCATCATTCTTGTCAGCCAACTCTAATCTGGACTATGCCTGAGGTGGTTTTAGATAAAATACCCAGGCAATGTATGAAAAAAATATTTGCTTGATACCTCTCAATGTTTATTTACTAAAAAGTTACATTTACTTCAATTCTAAGAGAAAATAGCAGTTAAAAAGTAAATCTCTGCCATATTGCCCTAAATGTTACAACTCTGTTGGCTACTCGTCATATGGCACGAGTTAGTGATTAAACCTTATTTACCTAAAATATCAATGTTATACATGTACATTGGACATATCATATAAAGAGGCAAAATAACGAAGAAAAATGCAGATTTCACTATATTCCCTATTTTAAGAGTATATATGAGCCCCCATAAAGAATGGATTCCAACAGCACTCTTTAGTACATACCAATGAGTTCTGGCTTTTTATTGGAGATAATCTGATAGAAGATGTGATAGCTTCTCTCTGCCGCAAGCTGGAAGGTTACTCTGGATTTTTCCAGGAGATCTACAATTAGAGGAATAAGTCTGTATTCATAATTATATACAGAAACAGTTGAAGATGGTGGAATTAGATCAAAAGTTGGTAGAATGTATGTGGCTAACCAGATGCATGTGTGAGCTAACTAAGCAGTGATAAGGCCCTCAAAAAGTGTTTTATGTGTGGAACCTCCCACCCTTTACTTATTATGACCCGCTATCTATCCACATAGTTCTGAACACTTATTTTAACCCCTTAAGGACTAAACTTCTGGAATAAAAGGGAATCATGACATGTCACACATGTAATGTGTCCTGAAGGGGTTAAAGGCAATTCATAAAGCCATTGCCCCTCTCTGTATTCTAAATGATGTAGGCTGCTAAAAACACATCATTTATGGATAAGGCATTTGGTCACGGTGTGCAAATTATTAATGCCAAAAGAGGAATCATAAATTATCGGAGAATCTCGTGTAGAGAATTAAGCAGGGAGGACCATCGTGAAATATTTGTAACTCGGACTGGAAGACGTATAAAATTACCTTAGCACCAACTAAAATTGGGGAAGTTTTTGAGTACAAGATTTACCTAGAAATATACGTTTTATTTGCCATCAGGTTACATGATTTGTCCATATTTATATGACTGAACATTTTTCGGTAGCTTTTTGTCTTTACGGTTAGTAAACTATGCAAGCTCAAAAAGGTGAGATCCCCTTTCTAATGTATGGAAGTAAATTATATATAATCAAACAAAGTTGCTAATGATAACACGAGAAAATGGTGCCTAACTCTGCTTTTGTAGAAAAATCATCAGGATCTACTCACATGTTTCAATATCTGCTGAAGCCAACTTTCCAGTGGTACCAAAGTGGATTCGAATAAATTTACCCTGCCGCGTAAAAACAAGATACAATCATCCTCTCATCTTCTACAGCTGGACATTAGCTGGATAAATGCCAATCGGTGGTTACTGTAATCTTTTAAAACCTTTAAAATTCCCATCCATTAATGATAACAGACTCATTTTAATTTGCGCAGATTGACAACGTAATAAGGAAACGCGTTTCTACAAAAAAATATGTAAGTTAACTATTTTTTTAAATTTTGGCAACTTTGGCCTTAAATTCTAAATTTACTTTGAATTCTCCCTTTAATGAATAACCCTGTAAATATTCTCTCTAGTGTTAAATGAGAGGAGTGTTGGGGTATCAGTTGGCAGAGTAGTGCAGAGTCTTTGATAGTCTGGTACTGTGTGGGTTTATGTTCTGGCTGGTGGCCTATGCTCTCAGTTTTCTCCAGGCCTGTACTGGCCCTCTGGGACGTTTTCAGGGAAAATTTTGTATTTTGGGCAGACTACGTTGCTGGACTGCGAAAAGTTTGTATGGTGTCTATGGAAGTGTTTACAAGTGACCGCAGGTTGAGATGAGACAGAACTCAAGACATGACAAACTCTTGCCAAGAGCGGCAACGGAGTCATGGCAAATGGAGTCTGCTTGCACAGGGCTTTGAGAAAGCCCTGTCATGCTGGGCTGGATGTACTGATGGAAGTTTACTAGGATACATGATATCACACTTCATGACTCCAGCAGCCGGCAAGTGCTAGAACCATATATGTCCTGTGCAGCGTTAGCAGGCCATGCACACAGAGATCAGGTATTTAGGAACTTAGTGATTGCTGTACCAATCGCTCATTATTTCTTTTAACATGTGTAGCACATCTAGCTTTTTAAAACTAATGTTGGGAGCATAACTTACGAAACGGGATGAGTTGTCATTCCTCACGGTTTTGGCATTGCCAAAGGCTTCCAGCAGAGGGTTAGCCTGAATGATTTGATCTTCCAAAGTGCCCTATTAGGAAAAGAACAGAAAAAAAATTAATAATAAAAAAAAAACAGAATAGTGAAATTACATCTCAAAGAATAATATGGGTTAACTAATGTTGATTGCTTCATAACAGGACATCAGTAATTACAGGCCCTTTTCTCAGAGTGTGAATTAGATTGTCATTAGTGGAATAGAATAAATGGGAACAGAAAAAAATTCTATATTTTGCAACGTTGTCTAAAATAATCAGCTAACATTCACAAGCAACTATTTCCATTTTTCTGAAAGATCGCACCTTCATTTTACTGCCTGTGTCCTTCTTCTTAGGGTCACCAACAGCTGCAATTGTTGCAAAGTACTGGATGACACGTTTGGTGTTCACAGTCTTCCCGGCACCAGATTCTCCGCTGCAATAAAACAGGTCACAGGATCGGGGTTAGGAAAGCAGGAGAAATCAATACAATCCCAGCATTTATATCGCATGAAGTGCATCAACTCAAGCAGAGATTGTCAAACATGCAATAAATGAAAATGAGGGGGGTCATTTCACCTTATTTCACAGATTATAGGGACACTATAGTCAACAGAAAAACTTCATGCCCCTGGAGTTAAATCCCTTTGTTTATACCGCCCCAGTCACACTCTGCATGTGACTTGCACAGTCTTCCCAAGCACTTCCTGTAAAGAGTCATCTAATGTTTACACTTCCTGTATTGAAAATACTGATTAAAGGAGCACTATAGGATCAGGAACACAAACATATATTTCTGATGCCATACTGTTAAAACCACCATCTAGCCCCCCAGACCCTCTCTTGCCTCTCTAAATATAGTAAAATCTTTCTTGTATTCAAGCCTGAAGCTGCTGGTTTTGCCCCTGTCTGCCTCAGAATAGCAAGCTGTCTGCTGACATCACCAGAATTGTTGTTCTGAGCCAATCACAATGCTTCCCCATAGGATTGGCTGATACTGTGAAGGAGGCAGATCAGGGCAGAGCCTGCACAAGTCAAACACAGCCCTGGCCAATCAGCATCTCCACATAGAGATGAATTGATCAATGAATCTCTATGAGCAAAGTTCAGTGTCTGCATGCAGAGGAATGAGACACTGAATGTTTGGATGCATTTTAGGCAGCCATGACCCAGGAAGGATCTCTAACAGCCATCTGAGGAGTGGCCAGTGAAGTTATCACTAGGGTGTAATGTAAACACTGCATTTTCTCTGAAGCAAAAAGCCTGAAGGGTATGCTTCTACTCACCAGAACAAATGCAATAAGCTATAGTTGTTCTGGTGACTATAGTGTCCCTTTAATTTAAAATTTCTTATCTCCTGCTCTGGTATTGCCTCCTAGGCCTTGCAAGAGCCTCCTGAATGTAATTAAAAGTTAAATTTACAGAGCAGAAGATAAAACATTTTAAAGTAAGTTAACATCTGATTGAAAGTGAAACCATTTCTTTCCATGCAAGCTGTGTGAGTGACAACCAGGAGAGGTGTGGCTGGGGATGCATAAACAGAAACAAAAGTGATTTAACTCCTAAATGGCAGAGAATTGTGGAGTGAGACTGCAGGAGCATTATCTATACACCAAAACTGCCTCATTAAGCTAAACTTGTTTTGGTGACTATAGTGTCCCTTTAAAGTTTTTCACAAGAGCCTTGGTGAATTCGGTTCAGACAAAAGAACAAAGAATTTAAGGCCAAATCCTGCGTGTCTGTCATATATTTTATGAAGAAGGGGACATTTCCCTATGACAGTCTAGGCTACAGGGGTGGCCTTTGGCCAATAAAGATTCCTCAGTCTTTTGTCAAACTGCTTGAAACATAGTTTGACCAAACAGTCTGCACACAGAAGTCCATTATACAATAATCAACAAAACAGTGCCCTTTTTGTAAATTACAAAAAAATAAAGCACAGTTTTATAGTGTCATTTTCATGGCACAATAAGTTTACCAGAATTTAAAGAGGAACTGTCCCTTCCTAAATTTTAGCACAACCTAATGGAAAAATAAAAGTTAGCTATTGGTTGTGCTATTTTTTTTACCACAACAGCATATGCAGGCAATATTTGGTAAAGGATGATACAGTGAAGTGGCATTGTTAAATATGCACAATTTTTGTGTTAGTAGAAGTTTTGTCAAACGCTTAAGGTTAGGTTTAGTAAGATTACCGTAGGCTAGTAGTTACATTATAAAGCAGAACATTGTGCTTTTTTTATGGTATATTATTAACATGCTAAATAAAAAGGCTATGCAAACATGTCTAACCGCAAGTATAAACAGAGGAGAGTCCTCATATTAGGTGTCAAACATGCGGCCCCCCAGATGTTGCTGAACTACAACTCCCATGATTCCCTGGCTATCTGTTTCATTGAAAGAATCATGGGAGTTGTAGTTCAGCAACATCTGGGGGGCCGCATGTTTGACAACCCTGTGTGGGTACGGTTGCTAGATTTTGAAAGTTAAACATTTTCTTTTGTTAAAGAGAGCTGTTTTACTCATGCAAAGACCTCTGATGTGATGCAGATAGTTAGTCCAGCGCTCCAAGCTTAAATCATAAAGGTCACAGCAGAATAAGACAGGAGAGAGTCTGCAAGATCTGTATAGACTTAATGATAAGGCATCAGTCTGTCCCTCAATGAGGCAGCAAAAGTCAGCCGGCTCTCATAGTTGGCAAGATCATGGCACTTACCGGAGAGTCACTGGGGAAAGGACTGATTCGGGTCATTGCTATTTTTGTTTTTAATTCATTATATTTTATTTTATTTGCAAATGAGTTAACTCTTGCAAAGTCATGCACACATAGCCACATAGACGACAAGAATTTAGGATTATACATACGTGATCAGAATAGACTGATTCTCACGATCTGTGGAAATAGAGAATTATATTGTTAAAATGATCTTATCATAAAACATGCAACGGAATATACATTTATTTTTTTGCAAAATAAGTCATCCCCTCCTGATCTTACAATCAGTATTTTAACACAGCACTGACAGTACATTGCAGGCAACGAAAACTTATGTTACATTATCTGAGGTATTATACGAATGTGCAATTATTGGTACAGCATCTTACAAAGGAACTCTATAGGCACCCATCATCTCATTGAAGTGGTCTGGGTCCTGTGTCCCACCGTTTTTAGCCGTGCAGTTGAAAATCAGTTTTTATTACAGTATTAACCTCAAGTGGCTGTCCTACTGGCATCCACTAGAGGCGCTTCTGCCAAAACAGTGGATTAAAACTCTTCTAAACATACAATGCAGAGTGAACAACATAAATACAAATGAAACACATTCTTTTGAGAATTGTATTACTCTGAAAATGTGTAGTAGATACATGAGATTTTTTAACATTCCATATAGTATGATGAATTATCCTGTGTGTTTCTCAGACATGCTTTGATACTTACCAGTTAACATGAACTGATAGGCGTTATCAGAGATGGAGAAGATGTGTGGTGGGGCCTCCTGACGCTTTTTGCCTCTGTAAGCATTGACCACTTCTTGGTTGTACACGGGCAGCCACTTGTAGGGATTTACTGTGACACAGAACAGGCCGGAATAGGTCTTAAAAAGAACAAACAATGTGAGTTTCATATATTAACATACTTATGTAATATGAGCAAATTCTAAAGCAGCAATCTAAAACATGTTATGATTCTATGTTCTCCTGGGATCTTCTCTATAGAACTGAACCAACTACTCTAGGTGAGATCTTGCCAGGGATCTATAAAGTACTATCACTTCCTCTCTATATCCTCCTGGGATCTGCTCTATAGAACTGAACACAATACTCTAGGTGAGATCTTACTGGGGATCTATAAAGTTCTATCACTACCTCTCTATGTCCTTCTGGGATCTGCTCTATAGAACTGAACACAATACTCTAGGTGAGAGCTTACCACTGACGAATCCGGCTTACCCTGTTGCCAGCCCTGCAACGTGCCTGCGGACTGGGGAGGGAGATCAGAAATCTCTCTCCCCTGTTCGCCGGCACTATGCTGGCAGCCAGCAGGGGAGGGAGAGAGGACCCTGGAGCTCAGCCTGCAGCACCTCCGGGTCCTACTCTCGCAAGCACGGAGTGTTGCCGAGGTTACCACGGCAACGCTCCAAATCTCGCGAGAGTGAACTCTAGCCCTGGAGCTACGGGATAGAGTTCACTCCTACCACTGTGACCACCAGGTAATCCCCACCGGACAACCAAGGATGGAGAAATGTCCCCCCTCCTCCCAGTAAAGGTAAGAAGGGAGGGGGGACATAGATGTATTAAATTTTATAAATTCTTTATTTATTTTTATCAAAAAGCCCCCCTACCCTCCTCACCACACATTCACACATTGCCCCCCATACACACACATTGCCCCCACATACACTGCCCCCACACATACACTGCCCCCCCACACACATACACTGCAATACACTGCCCCCCCATACACACACCCCCCACACACACACACACTGCCCCCATACACACATACACTGCCCCATACACACACTGCCTTTACACACACACACTGCCCCATACACACATTTGCCACACACACATACAGTCCCCATACACACACTGCCCCACACACCTCCCCCACACACACATACAGTCCCCATTGACACACCACCACCACACACACATATACACTGCCCCCACACACACATACACTGACCCCAGCCATACACACATACACTGCCCCCATACACACACCTTTACACATACAAACACACTGCCCCCACAAATATACACTGCCCACCCATACACACACTGCCCCTCACACACACATAGCCACACACACATACAGTCCCCCACACACACTGCCCCACACACACACATACAGTCCCCCCATACACACACTGCCCCCACACACACGTATACACTGCCCATCCATACACATACTGCCCCACACACACACATTGCCCCCCACACACATACACAGCCCCCATAAACACACTGCCCCATACACACACTGCCCCTCACTACACACACCCCCCATACACACATACACATGCCCCCATACACACACATACACTGCCCCATACACACACTGCCCACATACAAACACACTGCCCCACACACATATACACTGCCCACCCATACACACACTGCCCCTCACACACACATTGCCACACACATATACAGTCCCCCATACACACACTGCCCCCCCACACATACACACACATACAGTCCCGCATACACACACTGCCCCCACACACACATATACACTGCCCACCCATACACATACTGCCACACACACACACACATTGCCCCACACACACATTTACAGCCCCCATACACACATTGCACCCTACACATTCACACACTACACCTCCCCCACATACACACACACTGCACCCCTCACATTACACCACTGCTCCTATGCCCTACTACAGCCCCATATCCCAGCAGATCCCAGGTAAGTTGTTAAACTGTTCTTAAACGGTTTGACTACTTACTCTGGGAGGGGGTCCCGGCGCTGCTGGCACCATAACCACTACACAAAGCTGTAGTGATTATTGTGCATGGATTATTTCTTTAAATTATATAAAAGTGCACCCCCCGAGATCAGTCTCTGGATCCGCCACTGGATCTTACCAGGGATCTATAAACTTCAATCACTACCTCTCTATGTCCTCCTGGGATCTGCTCTATAGAACGGAATACAATACTCTAGGTGAGATCTTACCAGGGATCTATAACATACTATCACTACCTCTTTATGTCCTCCTGGAGATCTGCTTTATAGAACTGAACACAATAATCTAGGTAATATCTTACCAGGGATCTATATAGTACTATTACTACCTTTCTATGTCTTCCTGAGGATCAACTCTATAGAACTGAACATAATATTCTTGGTGAGATCTTACCAGGAATCTATAAAATGTCTTGCAAATACCTCTGTATTCCCCTTACATTCCTTACTATGTCTCATACTTTGATGAAAATCCCCAGTCTCTCACGATGCCCTCAAAGAGGAAGAAAGATTGTCCAGGAGATATGGAAGCTTCACTTACATAGATCATCCAGGCCTTGTAGCGCTCCTTCAGATTATACAGCACGGCTGGCTCATTTAGATGGGTCAGCATCGCCATGTCCTCTATTTTGTCAAACTTAGGCGGGTTCATAGGGAACACATTTTCAGGTTTAACGGTGACGGTCTGAGATTTTAATAAGAAAGATTGAATTAAGAAGAGCAGGTCTTTCGACAAGCAAGTTGCTCGACTGAGGTCAATTATGGTAAACAAGTTGTGTGCCAGAAAATGGATATAAGTACAACTATTATGACTTCATTCAGAGTATCTATGGGGCCAGTAACTACGTAACGTAGACGATATATTTCTCTGTATGTGTTATATCTTTTTCCCTTACACAATTTTAATCATGGATTTTTATATTTTTTTTTTTTTACAGTCAATGGATCAGTAGAGGTATTTTTTATATTTTTTTTCATTATCTTTTTCATGTGTTCCTTTTATAATTACTATATAAAACTAATGCAGATCCTGGCCAATATAAAAGACAATTATTTGGGGGGAGAGGGGGATATAATTATAGCATGCAAATTTCTATTTCTTTATTAGTGTCCTTATTCTTATGTCACACTTGAATGTTATGGAGAACCAATCGATTTGTTTGACTCGCTTACATACAAGACATAAAAGCAAAAAATTGAAACATACTGGGTAGAAAGATTAAGATAATCTTTACTTAAATACAAGTATTAGCGAAAAATCGAAAAATGACAAATGCATGAGACAGAGGCAAATATACACACAAATGTAGTTTGATTTCAGACACGTCGGACATACAGACACAAGTGGGCTTATTAGTAACAAATTGGAGTAGCTTGTAATTAAAGCATTTACTGAAATGTTTATGCTCTAATCATAGAACATCTCGATTGCAGGAATAGATTGGAACGTGACAAAAAAAACAAAACAATGAGCGGTAAGATGTTCCCCACCATTATTAGGTAATAGAATTAGAGTGATTTGAAAATCAAAATGTAGGCCGAATAGTCGAGCTGGTAAAATTCTCCATTTCACATATATAAATACAGCTTGGCTGTTTCATTCTGAATTTATAAGTCTATATTCAATTCACAGTTTAGTGAATAAACCGGGCCAGAATGTACACATACACATATACATGTGCATCAGGTCCCCAATGCCTGTCAATAAAAAGGATTGGATTGGACCCATCGCTGGAGGAGGCTACACTTCCTCCATGACCTTGCAAGAGGAGGAGAGGTGAGTAGCGCCAAGGGAGTTTTGGTACTGCAAAAAGTTAAATAAAAACAATTGTTTTATAATTTTTTATGGGACACACAAAGGGGATGGGGACCTGTGTAACTAGGGACAAGGACACTAGAATAGAGCTTTGCATTCATTTAAACGTCCATAATACAACTGTGCAGTTTCATGAAGTATTTAGTATTTCCAAAAATTAAACTACATCTGTCTTAAGAAAAAGGACACGGTATGGTCGAGGTAACTTTTCATTTGAACACTGAGCAGCAAGCATGCTTGCAAATGTACACATATAATATATATCAGACATAGCCTGATGATATTGTAAGAAATATGCCAAACTACAAAAATATAGTTTATTTTATACATTTGGCGCTAATAGTTTTATCTTAAAGGGATACTCTAAGTACCAAAACAACTTTATCTTAATTAAGCGTTTTAGTGTATAGATCATGCCCCTGCGGTCTCAATGCTCATTTCTCTTCCATTTATGAGTTTAATCACTTTGTTTATACAGCCCTAGTCACACCTCCACTGGCTGTGACTCCCGCAGCCAACATAAAAATGATTATATGTTTTGCTGTTTTCAGTACACTGTGTTTACTTTAGAAGTTTTTCTCTCCTGCTCTGTTGAACATTACTCACACACACAGGAGAATCCTGCAGAGCCTAGAAGGATATTAGATCATGGGATAAGACATTATAAATTAAACAGGCTGTGCAGTAAATGAAGCTTAAGAAACAGAAAACCAGATGTGAGAAAGGCTTAACTTGATGGACCCAAGTCTTTTCAGCCTATAAACCTATGAAATTATATGTAATTGGATGTTTCTTTACATGAAGTGTGTAGGGAGACTGTAGGCCACATGCAGGGAGCTGTGTCTAGGACTGCCTAAGCAAAGTGATTTAACTCCTAAATGGCAGAGAACTGAACAGCGAAACTGCAGGGGCATGATCTATACACCAAAACTACTTCATTAGGCTAAAATTGTTTTGGTGACTATAGTGTCCCTTTAACATAAAGACTGAATTTTCCACAAGACCTTTCCTGGATGTCAGTTCTAATTTAACCATCATCTTTGCTATATATTATCAATCACATTTTAAATAAATCCTTTTTAAAAAATTGTATCTTACTATTTTGCCATATACTGAGCGATGGGGTGAGATTCAGATGGGAAGAAGATACGTTCTAAGTTCTAGCCAGGATGTAGATCCCAATTTGTTGCCAAACCACAACTCCTAGAATTATCTGCCAACTTTCGGACTGGTAAAGTAATATGAGAGTTGTAGTTTTGCACCAGCTGAGGATGTATCATTTTGCTGATCCTGTTGTAAAGGTTGTGCAGTCACCATGGAAACTAGTGAAATGGTTTTGATCATTGCACTGTACATCATGGAGATTGCACAACTTTAGAAAGTTTTTTGGTTGCTTTTAAAAATCATTCACCTTTGTTGCCTAAATTTTGTTTTGTTTTTTCCCCAATTTTCTACAGTTCGGGGTTCCGTGAATAAAACCCATTGTGAATTATTCGCCAAGATTGTCCGTAATGATAATTCCTTACCCGATTATCGTCCGTCTCCACAGTGGTCTTACCACCATCTGAGCTCTTAATTTTTCCCTTTACATAATCCACAGTTGGGTCAGTCACGTAGCAGTGGGTTTTGGCATCAAACGGTTGGTTCTGAGCTTCAATACGCTCCTTCTCGGGTTTGCGCAGGAACACTGCGGCCACGCCGTAAATCTGCATCTCTGCATCGCTGCTCATGGCTGCGGTTTTGACTGGCTGAAAGAGGAAATACATTGATTAGTCAGTGTACCATTGCACTTACTACACCGCCTGAGTGTTAACGCCTGCGCTGTGTGTGCCATTTGTGATGCTTTGATTACTTATAAGCATAAAGATCAAAACCCATGTTAAAAATCAGTAACGGTGTCATTAATCTTTCGAGTGGCGGAGGGATGGACAATATACTGTTAATACTATGTTTGTTAGTGAAAGCCATAGAAGTTATTGTGAAACAGGATTTTTGGGATTAAGTTGGTCTGTGATCTGGGGTTAAACTCCAACACCTCTAGAGCCCCTCATCCTGAGAGCATGCACTGCTATGGCCCCTCATCCTGAGAGCAGAGACAGAGAATGCACCTCTAGAGCCCCTCATCCCGAGGCAGTGACAGATAATGCACCTCTAGAGCCCCTCATCCTGAGAGCAGAGGTAGAGCATGCAGCTCTAGAGCCCCTCATCCTGAGAACAGAGGTAGAGCATGCAGCTCTAGAGCCCCTCATCCTGAGAGCAGAGACAGAACATGCAGCTCTAGAGCCCCTCATCCTGAGAACAGAGGTAGAGCATGTAGCTCTAGAGCCACTCATCCTGAGAGCAGAGACAGAACATGCAGCTCTAGAGCCCCTCATCCTGAGAGCAGAGACAGAACATGCAGCTCTAGAGCCCCTCATCCTGAGAGCAGAGACAGAACATGCAGCTCTAGAGGCTCTCATCCTGAGAGCAGACACAGAACATGCAGCTCTAGAGCCCCTCATCCTGAGAGCATGCATTGCTATGGCCCCTCATCCTGAGAGCATGCATTGCTATGGCCACTCATCCTGAGAGCAGAGACAGAGTATGTAGCTCTAGAGCCCCTCATCCTGAGAACATGCAGCTCTAAAGCCCCTCATCCTGAGAGCAGAGACAGATAATGCACCTCTACAGCCCCTCATCCTGAGAGCAGAGACAGAACATGCAGCTCTAGAGCCCCTCATCCTGAGAGCATGCATTGCTATGGCCACTCATCCTGAGAGCAGAGACAGACCATGCAGCTCTAGAGCCCCTCATCCTGAGAGCAGAGACAGAGCATGCAGCTCTAGAGCCCCTCATTCCTTAGAACATGCAGCTCTAGAGCCCCTCATCCCGAGAGCAGAGACAGATAATGCACCTCTAGAGCCCCTCATCCTGAGAGCAGAGACAGAGCATGCAGCTCTAGAGCCCCTCATCCTTAGAACATGCAGCTCTAGAGCCCCTCATCCCGAGAGCAGAGACAGATAATGCACCTCTAGAGCCCCTCATCCTGAGAGCAGAGGTAGAGCATGCAGCTCTAGAGCCCCTCATTCTGAGAGCAGAGACAGATAATGCACCTCTAGAGCCCCTCATCCTGAGAGCAGAGACAGAGCATGCCTCTCTAGAGCCTCTCATCCTGAGAGCAGAGACAGAGCATGCAGAGCCCCTCATCCTGAGAGCAGAGACAGAGAATGCACCTCTAGAGCCCCTCATCCTGAGAACATGCACCTCTAGAGTCCCTCATCCTGAGAACATGCAGCTCTAGAGCCCCTCATCCTAAGAGCAGAGACAGAGAATGCACCTCTAGAGCCCCTCATCCTGAGAGCAGAGACACAGCATGCAGCTCTAGAGCCCCTCATCCTGAGAGCAGAGACAGAGAATGCACCTCTAGAGCCCCTCATCCTGAGAACATGCACCTCTAGAGTCCCTCATCCTGAGAACATGCAGCTCTAGAGCCCCTCATCCTAAGAGCAGAGACAGAGCATGCAGCTCTATGGACCGCTAGGGCACCAGGAAATGATTGGAATCTTTTGTAGCAACAAGTCCCAGGAGCCAACACAACCAGTTACCAAATAAATCCATCCTTTACACTCTAATTTCCGTACCTCTTCAATCCAGCCAGCAAGAGAGGAAGATGTTGGTATTTAAAACTGAAAAAAAAAGGATAAAAAGTGGTACTATGTATATTACACAATTAATATAAAAGATAGTTCAAATTGGACAATTATAGTCTATAATATTGTGAGTTTGTTTGGTACATAAGCTAAAAAGCAATAGAATCACTCTGAATAAAATAGAGTTTTGTAAAGCACATGGCCAGTCATTTAATACTTACAGCTCCTACAGCTTCAAATAGCCCTTAGATAACACACAACGTGCCTTTATAAGAGTTCTATAATCCCTTGGGTTTCTGCTTCCTCTATAATTGGAAAGCAGATCCTGCCCTTGGCTAACTTATTTTGCATTAAAATTTAAATATAGCAATGATCTTCTGTCTTATTTTCTTCCATTTAGAGACCTTTGCCAAGGTGTACAATTGTGAGTCATTGCCTCTAGCCCTTAAGAATGGGATTATCATGCCAAGGCGGGCACGGAATATGCTTCATTGGTAATGATAGGACAACGGCGAGGAATCAGCGAGGGAGGGAAGAATGCAAGAAGTTTCAACTATGTAGAGTTCACAGACCCCTCCGACAATGCATTGGCAAGGATGCTACGACACTGCTACAATTACTGGGAGAACCAGTGGGGTTATAATGCCCATAATTTGGAGCTTGCAACTTTTTGCATTTAGCCAAGTTTGCAATCATTCTGTCTCTGAAATATCATATACCTTCTAGAAAATCTTAATTTGCAGGTTCTCTTTATGCCACGTTTGTACATTTAATAAGACAAGTTTAATATATTCCCAAGCTTAACAAAAAACTATTTCTTGGAACATTTTCTTAGCAGTGCAAGAAAGAAAGAAAAAACGATTTTTCAGGCACTGCAGAACTTTGAAATACCCTTACAGGAACACAAATGAAAGAAGCACTTTATGATAAGGTATGCATGTGAATTAATTTGCCACTGGAAACCCGAACTCTTTAATGCACTCATTTTCTTGTTTCTTTTACAAATCACTTTTATATTGAACTTTCAAGTCATACTAAACAGACACTAAGCACAGACGTAACAAAAATAATTTGAGCTAGTCAAATTGCCATCAGGGCTCATTGAATAACTGTAGGGATATGAAAATGTGTCAGAGTTAAAGAGAAGTACAGAGGATGTGCCATCAAGACTCTAGAACAGAGGGTAGGCAACCATCGGCACTCCAGAAGTTGTGGACTACACCTCCCATGATGCTTTGCTAGCATTATGGCTGTACAAACGTTATGGTAATGGTAGTCCAAAACATCTGGAGTGCCGAAGGTAGCTTAGCCCTCTAGAAAACAAGAAGAGCAATAAAGAGAGAATTATAGAGATTTCAGGCCCACATTCATTTTTTCGGTCGACGAGTGTTGAAGATGATACCAAATTGCCCCATCACTATATTGAAAGTCACACAGACGTTAAATAATTTAAAGATATCCTGCCACACACCACAAACCCACGAAAACCTTAAAATTGTAACTTTTAACAGATCTGTGTCCCCCTGTGCCCTAAGTGACAATATCTTTTCATTGGCAGGATTTTTTATAAAGGAAGAATCCTTCGTACTATTATTGATTTTTAACGCAGATCTGCAGCATACATTTTTCAAGAGTCCCCAGTGTAATGTGGGATACGAAACCCAGCTGTTACCTCCTGATTGTTGCGAATCAAACAGCCGCTGTTCATCTTCTATTGTTATTTTGGGTTATTGAAGGGAACTCAGCGCTAGTTAGAAAGGCTTAACACATCTGTTATCGAGCTAATGACAACTTTGCAGTATACTGAATGGTGTCCCGGAGGACACATTAAGGAGAATAGGAATATCCCAAACCATTCCGGTGAATATGATTCCTCTCCGCTCACATACTGTGGAGTAATTTGTGCTGTCAATGAGTACTCAGACAGTGTATAATCTAGAAAGTGATTTAATTAGCACTCATTTAATGGCAGGGAGGAAGATTTATTGCCAACTGGTCCACAGGTTAAACATAACAATTTGTGCTCTGTCAAAACCGAGAAGTGGTTCCCTTTGTCAGTCACTTGTCGGTTTAGAACGTTTGGAAAAAGGATTGAGAAAGATCTGTGCAGTGGTCTACAACAAGTATAATTCAATCAGTCAATGTTTCAGTCCTGCCCGGCCTTGAAAATATGTCCCAGACTTCTATAATTAGGTTTAAATGTTAAAAGATATATATAAGTGTATACTGACATCACAATCTAATTAAGTCCTGGCACAGACAGAGTACACATTGATTGGAGGAGGAGAAATATATTTGTTTGTAATTCTTCTTCTCTTTCTACATTAGTGTGAAGGCCAGAGCTTCTAATTATGATTGACAGGGAGCCAAGGGTAGGCACTCGCCAAAGGAATAGCTATACAAGGCACAAATGTTGTGTCAAATGTTGTGCCTGGAGTGTCCCTTTAACCCTGCTAAAGTAGTATAAATGCTAAATCTATATTTACATATATATATACACATATCCATACCCATAAAGCATTGAACAATTCTAGCCTCTCTTATATCTCCTCACAGATCCATAGGTATGCCCCTTCTTAGTCTCTCCGCTCTGCCCATGACCTTCTCCTGTCCACTGCTCGCACCCATACGGCCAACTCCCGCTTGCAGGACTTCTCACAAGGCAGCTCCCTTTCTATGATATAGCCTGCCTACCACCATCAGGCTTTCCCCTAGTCTTCAATCATTTAAAAGGGGGTTTAAAACTAGGGATTACATGGGCAAAATATTTGGTTTGGTTCGGCACTTCCGAAATTCGTGACTTCGGCAATTTGGCACTTTGGTTTGGTTCGCCACTTCCGAAATTCGGGACTTCGGCAATTCGGCACTTCAGCAATTCCCTTACCCTAACCCTATCCCGAACCAAAAACATTCTGCAAAAAAGCAATCCAGGAGTTTTTTTTAAGGCAAAGGAGTGGAATATTTTACAATGGCCAAGTCAATCACCTGATCTGGACCCCATCGATCATGCATTTCACTTGCTGAAGACAAACTTTAATGCAGAAAGACCCACGAACAAACAACAACTGAAGACAGCTGCCGTAAAGGCCCGACAAGCATCACAAAGGAGGAAACCCAGGGTTTGGTGATTCCCATGTGTTCCAGACTTCAAGCAGTCATTGCATGCAAATGATTCTCGACAAAGTATTAAAAATAAAAAATTTATTTATGATTGTGTTAATCTGTCCAATTACATTTGAGCCCCTGAAATAAAGGGACTGTGTTTGAAAATGGTTGCAATTCCTATACGTTTCATACAACATTTTTTTGTTCAAACTCTTGAACTAAAGCTGAAAGTCTTCACTTCAATCGCATCTCGGTTGTTTCATTTAAAATCCATTGTGGTGGCGTACTGAGCCAAAATTATGGAAATTGTGTCAGTGTCCAAATACTTCCAGACCTAAGTGCGTGTATATATATATATATATAAATATATATCATACAGTAACAATTCGGTATTCAGTAGAAGGAAACACTGCCTGCTGCACAAAGCCTTCTAACATACCAAAGTATAAGAACATAAATTAAATCATAATATTGTAAGATGCATCGTGACATTTACATAAATCTCTGCCACCTGGTCCACATGCCACATGCCATCTCTATAAATGTTTAATGCATCCCTAATAAAAATGTCTCTATGAAAAGATAAGGCGCAAACTGATACGTGCTCCAAGACGCCAGACAATGCGCATATGACAGATGGAAGGGTCTGAGTGTTTAGGAAGATGGATTCCTTAATCCTGGCAGATTACAGGCTCTCCTTTTAAACTCAACGCATCAATTTAAGAAGCAGAACAAAAACCGCCAGAGGCACTTCTAGTGTACTATGCATATCTATAGTTATATATAAAGCTATATAGATATAAGTGGTTTATAGCCAGCGAGACTACATACAAAATATTAATATTATGTACATTTGCACCAGTGCAGATTGCATGCAAAGAACTATATTCAGAGAAATCACCAACAAACATTACATTTTTATTTTTTTAAACCGTGAAATATGTTTTTAGTAAAAATAAATTCAAATTGTTTCCCCATTGTCGTTCAAGATCAGCCTGCAGTAGGTATTTAGAGAGGTGTTTCAGAGAATTAATGGACCATCTAATGACCATGGCCAGAAGGTTTGTCTGCCACAGCTTTTTTGCCCCCAGCACATTCCATTTTTCCACCAAATTGTTCCACAGCTAGAATTTTGATCCAGAATTCCTATATTGACGAAAGGACCTTTGGCCTCATGTGACGATTAAATGGGTATGGTCAAGAAACAGTAACAAAATGCTAAAAATAAGTAGGCACTCTCATCAATCTTTTAGACAATTCAGTGAGAGGAGACATCAGCTGTTACCCCGAAGTCATGGATGTTCTCACCAGTCCATTCTATAAACCCATCGTTGTCAATTGAGCGCTGCATTGCTCTCTAAAATTGTGCAGGTCCATATCTTCTCTTAGGAGCCAGTATCCAAAGTCTGGTCAAAATATCCCGCAAAGGGCAATTTTATTTATACTATACTTTTCCAAGTGTTTTTATTTGTTTTCTTCCGTACATATGGGTGGTACATTAATGGAAGCGGTGGATATGTATTCTTTAATTGTGCCCATGCTACAATCAGTTCCTTTAATTGGTCTTCAGCAATGAAATCTATCAGGATGTGCTCTGTATTCTGAATCACCAACAAAGAGACCCAGCAGGACAAGCTGCATACCACGCAGAACCTCATACTTCTCAACCATATGGAGTCTGGGCCAACAAAAACAATGCAGGCCTTAATATAATCAACTTTACATTATTAAACAAAAAAACTGAATGACATAACATGTTAAAGCATGTTTTATTTATTTTTACATTATGTGTCATTTTAAAGAACAAGTTTAAAAAAACAAAAGAAAGCAAAAATGTATTAACACCAAAAGGACTACATATATATACCTGTAGATGTTTTAAGATCAACACTTCTCATTTCCTCCTTGTGTACAACATTTCCAGACTGACAAATCTAGGCCTATTCCTAAGAAGTGCCCCTCGGATGTTGAGTTGGTAGTGCAGTCGTTTTCATGAGAGCAGACGGGCTCTGTTGGCTGTTAAAATAGACTAGCAAGCCAAGGTGCCCTTTTTGCCCCCAGCCTGATTTACGTCCAGTGTGATAAACCAAACAGTGAAAGCAAAGGCTGCCAAACTGGCATCATGCACCCAATGTTCTTTTTCT